CCCCCCCCCCCCCCCCCCCCCCCCCCCCCCCCCCCCCCGCCGGGACGCTGTGGTGGCCTCACCGAGAGCAGACACAGGCTGTGGATTTGGCTCCAGGGGCCTCAGCTCATTGGACACATGACCTTGGAATGAAGCCTCTTACAACTTCTGTAAAATCTCTTGTGTCGAGCTGAAATGATGGCTCAGTGGGCAAAGCACTTGCTAGATCAGCATGAGGACCTGAGTTCATATCCCCAAAAGCCATGGAAAACTGGGCACAGCATTGTGAGTCAAGGAATCTTTAAAACAAGATGGAAGGCAGAGTCAGGAGACGCCCTGGAAACTGGCTGGCCAGCTGTCCTGGAGCGCACAGTGTCTGGGACACAAAAAGGAAGGAAAAAGAAAAAAAAATAGATGTAGTAGTGCATAGCTTTAGGTAAGCAGAGTCAAGCCCATCTCTGTAAATTCCAGGCCGGCCTAGTCAATGTAGCAGGTTCCAGACCAACCAAGCGACATAGTGAGACTCAATCTCAAAAGAGAGAGAAAAAGAAAGAGACCTTGTCTCAAATAAGGTAATCAATAAGAACCAATACCCAAGGTTGTCCTCTGACCTTCAGATGAACACATGGGTGCACAAACGCATACGTCATACATTATACAAAGATTTTTAAACTTTTATTACATTTGTTTATTGGGGTGGGTTGTACATGTTCCACAGTTCATGTGTAGAGGTCAAAGGATATTTCTAGAAGTTGGTTCTCTACTTACAGGGATCGAAGTCAAGTTTTCATGTCCAATGACAAGTGCCTTTAACCACTGAGCCATCTTCCTGGCCCAAAATCAAAAAGAAAACAATGGCTTTTTAGATCTCGGTAGTAAGGATAGTTTTGCTCCTTTTGACCTTTCTCCTGGGCGCACACAGGATTGTGGAAGTCACAGCCTGAAGGTCAGGAATTTCCACACAGAAAGGAGCTATGTGTAGCTGCTTACAGCAGAAGGTGTTTGTGGCTTTGAAATCATGGCTCATTTTCTAGGCGCATGACATTCTTCAGTGGGGCTTTGAGAGAGCCTCTTTGACAACAGCCACTTTGAGGTGGTGGTTTTGATGTAGGATCATCGTGGTGGATGGTTCAACCTTATGCATTAAAATTAAAAATTGACTCACTGGTGTAGAAAACTGCCGACCTGTTCCGTCTCTGAATGGGGCCAGAGGAAGTGGTGAGGGCCAGCGGGGCGATATGGGTTGGAAGGGATAAGGCCAAGGGTGGGGGCTAGGCACCATCTGCCAGACAAGACGTCATGCGAGTGCCACAGCTGTCTGTGGTGGAAGGACCCGGAGCATCCCGAGAGAAGTGTCTGCTCAGACATTAAGAATTGGCTTGAATCTTGGCAGGATGACATCTAAAATTATCTCTTTCTTAAAGTTAAAAGACCTTATGTGTGTGCTGAGCTGGGGGAGGGCGGGGGAATGGAGAGGCAGATATTTAAACCACAACACGGCCCTTTCTTCTCTGCTCTAGGCTGCACAGGAAATCCCTAATTAGACGTGTGACAGTGTCTCGGAATCTCTAATGATACACATACATTACAGTTCACATTACAAAGGTCCCTTTGAGTGATGGCTTGGGGGAAAGGGCTAGATGATGAGCCTACTTATTACTGATTTTTTTAATAACTTGCACATTCCCCCCCCAGTTATAAAAGTAACAAAAGAAACTATGATAGATGGAACGTTCTGTGGTAGAGACATGACCAAGCAAAGTTATTTCACTATTTGTATTGTAGTTACCGGACTCTTAGAAAGCCTACAGAGCCCAAATCTTTTGGGTTTCCACCTTTATCCCACTTACTGCTCCATTTCATCCTCAGGACAGCCCTGTGATGCCACCAGAGCCTTATGTTGGGTCACTTGGCCAGAAAGTGAGTCAGGTTCACATGGCTGGCTATCAGGTGGAAGGGGGAGTGGCCCAAGGCCAGCCACTCATGTCCCAGATTCTGATAGACTCCCAACTTCCTCCTCCTCTGGGTTTTGATATCTCAGACAGCACATCTGGTTGGGAACCCACGGGCCACCTTGCAGTTAGAAGAGGGAGTATGGTATCTGTTGCTTGCTTTCTTCATTGTGTTTGAATGTATGCTGTATTATCAGAGCACTGAGAGGGGCATGGCTTTACACTGCAAACAGGAAATGTCCACCCTTCCTCTCCTCTCCACCTAAGTCTGTCCCGAAAGGCTCATAGCTGGAAGTGTCAATCATGTGGGATGCACTTGTGTCTAGGCATGCTATGTACGGCATATATGTAGAGAAATTACCCCTTGTCTAGTTTCATTTGTCATTCTTTTAGTAATCATAGTCAACTGCTGTCTGGAAATATTAAGTGGAGAATTCCAAAAGCAAACAGTGTGTAAGCTTTCAACTGCACACCATGCTGAGTATTGTGATTCAATCTCGTGGTGTTGCTCCATCTTCCCAGGACAGTGATCGTCCCTTTGTCCTGTGGATCCACTCTGAATACCCTCCTCACCCATTACTCCCTTGGAACCTGGCCGAGCAGATCAGCAGCCACAGGATCAATGCCTGTGTTCAGTTAACCCCAAAGCACAGTAGTGATGCAGGAAGTTCAGATATGCAGCCAAAGGCTGAAAAGCACTTCATTTAAGAAAAAAGGTGAACATTCGCAATTTAAGAAAAGGGGGAAATTGCTGTGGTTTGCCAAGATCTACAGAAGAGCAGATCCTCCCTCTGCAAAGCTGTGGGAAAGGAAAAAGAAATTGGTGCGAGGTTCCCTGTCGCACTTCAGAGAACATAAGTTACAGCCATGGTGTGTGACAAGAATTTAGTTGTGAAAAAGGCATTATGTTATATGATTCAATACTAGCTGCAATTACAGGCATCCATTTAGGATCTTGGAATCCGTTAAGAGATCACACACAGACACAGTACATGCGCACATGCACACACACACACATACACACACACACACACACACATACACCCTCTCCCTAGTCTTCAGCCTGGTGCTTCCCCCATCAGTGTATTGTCATTGGCTATCTGTACAGTTCACTGTGTAGAGACTCAGTTTGTTCTCAGGATTGACCTTAACTGTCTTCCCATTTCCTATCTTGTCTCAATGGGTTGTGATAGAATTGCAAAGAGTTCCTTCTTCACCTTGTTCCTTCCCTGCTTGTGTGCCCAGGACAGATCTCCTAACAGGCTGACAGATGGTGTAGCTGGTTAGGATCTGCATTCCAGCAGGCTCCTTGGGTGGTTTGTCTGGTCAGCATGGAGACCCACACTCATGGTGCCCCATCAATTGGCGCCTCCTCATCCCTTACTGGACACCACCCTGGCCCTGGCTATACACAGCCCCTCTCCAGGCACACCTCTAACCCCTGTCCTTCCCCTTGCCTTGCCAGGAGGCTGGTAGAGAAGTTCTCCATATCCGTGCAGTTCATTTCGCCAGTGCATCCAGGTGAAACTGTATTTTTGCCGAGATGTCGCCCTTTGCCTTGCATCCTGGACTCCTCCGGTCTGAAGCCACACAGCCAGCTGGAGGAGCTGTTCCTCAGGTAAGCATGCTGCACTGGCTATTCTTATGTCAACCTCACACAAGACAGAATCATTTTGGAACTTCAGTATTCCCACCGAATTGGCCTGAGGACAAGTCTGTGATGCATTTTCTTGATTGATGGTTGATGTGGGAGGGCCTAGCCCACTGTAAGTGGTACCACCCCTAAGCAGGTATTTCTCAGGACTATCTAAAAGCAGGCTACACAAGCCGTGGGGAGCAAGCCAGTAAGCCGCACTCCTCCATGGCCTCTGCATTAGCTTCTGCCTCCAGGTTCCTGTCCTGTGTGATTCCTACTGTAACTTCCCTCAGTGATGGATTGCTACCTGGAGTATAAGACGGAATAAATCCTTTCCTTCCCAAGTTGTCACGGTCCTAGTGTTTTGTCACATTGAGAGAAACCCTGAGACACATGGGGAGTAGAGGGAACAGTGTGGTCTGTCTCAGGGACAAGGGCCACCTCAAATAAGGAAATCCAAAACAGTGTTTTGAACAACATGAATATGTCACCTTTTATGAATAGAGGTAATTATATTAATTTTCTGTTTTCAGTAATGATAATTGATAATCAAACAGACTGGCCATCATGAAGGGAAGTCAAGGCAGAAGCTCAAGTAAGAACCTGGAGGCAGGAACCTAAACCGAGGCCATGGAGAAATGCTGCTTACTGGCTTGATCCCAGGCTCATTCATGTTCAGATGTCATTGTTATAGAAAACAGCCTTGCATGCCTAGGAATAGTACTGCTCACAGTGACCTGGGCCCTCTTTCATTAATTAGCAATCAAGAAAATGCCCCCACAGACATGCCAATAGCCAATCTGAGGGAGGCAAATTCTTCAGCTGAGAATCCGGCTTCGAAGGTGTATCAAGGTGACAGCCAGGATTATCTGTCCCAGTCACGCATGTCTACTTAGAAAATTTACTAATTTAGATATATAAACTCTTTTTTTATTTGAGAAAGGGTTTCTCTTTGCAGCTTTGGCTGTCTTGGAGTTCACTCTGTAGACCAGGCTGGCCTTGAACTCACAGAGATCCACCTCCCAAGTGCTGTGATTAAAGGGGTGTGCCACCACTGCCCAGCTATAAACTCTTATTTTAAATTTTAAAAAGATTTTTTATTTTAGTGTGTGTGTGTGTGTGTGTGTGTGTGTGTGAATTATGCTATGTGCATGCAGTGCCTGAGGAAGCCAGAGAGGGTATTGGATTCCCTGGGGCCAGGAGTTGTAGGTGCTTAGAACCAAGCTTGGGTCCTCTGGAAGGGCAGAATGTGCTCTGAACCGAGACCTTTCTTCAGTCCCTGGATGTATACATTTCCTTAAAAAAAAAAAAAGTCTACATTATAGACCAGTCTACATTATACACCAGGCCATGCGTTCACATGTTCATACTGCCTTTCCCTCCCCCAGTATTCCAGTTTTGTAGAACAACCTGAGCCAGACTCATCACACATGGCCTGGGGATCTAAATTAGCACAGGGCCAGGGTCTGGGCTATCAGAGCCTATGGTGATCACTCACCTATAGCAAGGCCCCTTTTCCATAGTTATATCTCATGCAATTTTAATTACCTGTGACCAACTGTGGTCTGGATATATTAAATGGGCAAATCCAGAAATAATTTGTAGGTTTTTACCATTTTTGTCTACCATTCTGAGTAGAATGTTGGAATTTTGTGCCATCCCACACCATCAGTTTGGAATGTGAACCTTGCCTTTGTCTGGTGATCTTCACTGGTCATGCTCCTCACCCATTAGTCATCAAGTGGCCAGCTCCATTCTCAGATTGAGCCTCAAAGTGTGAAAGAGCTTGTATCTCTTCTCTTAGTGACTGTAGAGCACAGGTGCAGTGCTAGTCGGGGTTCAGACAGGCCAAAGAGAAGCCATGATGCTTCCTCTAAGTCAGAGGTGTAAGTTCTTGACTTTAGGAAAGAAAAACATCATATACTGGGGTTGAAGGGCTGTAGATGGCTCAGTGGTTAAGAGTGTACACTGCACCCATGTGGGGCAACTCACAGCCATTGGTAACTCCATTCCCAGGGGCTATGACACCCTTTCCTGGACTCCACAGGCGACTGTGCGCATACCCACACACAGGCACACATCGCGTAGCACTTAGTACCAGCCACCATTTAGGTCATCTACTGGGAATCAATGGATCAGATCCCGCCCAAACAGCGAGGGACTAGTATATTTGCTGGGGATACTGTCTTTGCTCTGTGTGCCATCAATACTGGAAAGTCTGTCCCCGCCAGAAGCAGGCTTGATAACAATAGAGACAGCTGCCTTGCTCCTCCTCTTCTGCTCATTATCACATAATCATGACAAATTGTTCTGGAAGGGGATTTTTAAACGGTTTACCACAATCATGCCCAACACTTGGCTGTTGAGAGCTCATGTCCAAGAATATAAGAGAATGATAAAGAGAATTTAGAGCAGTTGCCGTCTGCCGGATAACACCAACGGGCTGGTGACTGCGGTGGAGGCCAAACGGATGGAGAAAGGGCCACCATGACCCACCCACTTCAACCACAGCATGAGCTTGAGCTTGTTAGTTCTCAGTCCATCTCTGCTTTAAAGATTGCCGGTAACATTTGGATGTTTCTGTTCAAGATATATATATATGTATATATATATATATATATATACACACACACACACCTACTACACACATGTACGCTCACACACATAAGCCTACATACTGCAGACAAAACACTGATTCATAAATATATATGTATGTATTCATACATATGAAGATATATATGAGTGAATATCATGCCTGCAGTGTGTATGTGCTTGCCTGGTGCCTTGGAAAGTCAGAAGAGGACACTGGGTCCCCTAGAACTGGAGTTAGGGATGGTCGTATGCCACTGTGTAAGTGCTGGGGATCAAACCCAGGTTCTCTGCAAGAGCAGCAAGTGCTCTTAACCACTGAGCCAGCTCTCCAGCCCCCTGTAAAGGTCTCTATTCTGGAAGGCCTCAGGCTTGTCTGATGGTGGAATGAGCAGTGTGACCTGCCTCAGCTGCAGCAGGGTCAGTCAGAATTTTCTCTCTGTTCCTGCCTGGCAACATAGCATTCTGTCTGTAGATGCTATTGCCACTAAAAAGAGTAGCTTTCCATATCAGTCAGTGTTCAAATTCTGATTGTCTTATGTGTGTGGGACAGCTTTTAGGAGTCGGTTTCTGCCTTCCACAGGAGCCCTAGGACCTGAACTCTGGTCAATAGACAATGGCAGCAAGCACTGTCTCCATGTTGCTGTCATAAGTAGTGATATGCTGCTTCGATGCCCTAACATACCCATTTTCCTAGTTTTTTGGAAACACATTCTTATCAGCTTTTCTCTGTTATCAATAGTGTGTCAGTGTCTAGAAGCCTAGAAGGTGTGAGCTCATGAGGTGTGCATGTGACCCCTGGTAAAGTTTCACTTTGCCATAGTAAAAAGGGACCAAATGAGAAAGGGATAAAAGGAGGAGGAAGGAAGGAAGAGGGCGACAGGCAGAGGAGCAAGGAAAGCAGCTGGCTGGGAGTGGGCAGGCATGGCTGGGTGTCACAGAAAGGAAGGCGGCCTTAGCACCAGGGTGGGGGAGGGGCATGTGGAGGTGGCACCATCAGCGTGTTTCTGCCTTTAACAAGGCTGGCTGGTGGCAGGAAGTGTTTGACAGATGAGATGGCCCGTGGAGCTATGATCTGGGATCAGAGCTGCCCTGCCAAAGGGAGCCAGGTGGCTGCCCAGCTTCCCCAGAGGAAGAACTCAGACCTTCCTCCTCCCTCAGATACGCTAATGAACAAAGGACATGGTGCTGGCAGTGTGTCAGCTCAGCGGTGTTGAATCTTACTTTGCTTTCTAGAGGTATGCCCTTGTGTGACAGCCCAGCAAGGGGCTGGACACTGGGTAAGGGCCACCTCCTTGGACCATCTTTTGTTTCCTGATTATACCCAAGTCTTCAAGTCGAGGCGTAAGAGTGGGAGCCGTAGCCATCCCTTCATGATCCTATGGTACTGGTCAGAAACATGACCTTAGAAGAAAGTACAAGATTATAAGACTGTCCCACACACCGTCAGTCCTGGGCCACTGACTGGCTCAGCAGGAAAGGCGCTTGCTGCTAAGTCTGGTGACCTGAGTTTGATCCTTGAACCCACAGTGCAAGGAGAGAACCCATCCCCAAGAGTTGTCCTCTCCCTCTACCTGTGAACTGTGGTACACACACATACGTATTCACACATCACACACACATGTATGTACAGGAGCACATGCGTGCACACAGTTTAAAGTTAATGTTTTGCGAGCCAACAAGTAAGTTTTCAAGTTGCACTCTTGCATTTTTCAAACCTTTTGCGGTTGGCAGGTGTGGTGGTGGTCCTCGGAGGAGGGGACGTGGGTGCTGCTGTTTCAAAAGTCTCCTCTTGAGGAGCATCGCCTCTGTACCTGCCATGAAGGGAGAACATGTTCCTCTGAGCAAAGTGGGAAGTGTCCTCGCAGATCAAGTGTGCCATTCCTCTGGAGTGGCAGGGCAAGGGCTCCACGTCTGCGGATCCCAGGTCCCACCGTGTTGCAACTAGAGCTTCCCCAGAGCACCCTCCCTTGTCTGTCACCAGGTCGACTGACATAAGACCTGAGATCGGATCCCGGGGACCCAGGTTACATGCCTTAATGATAGCCATTGGTTCCTAGGACCCCAGAAGCCAAACCTTGTTCCTTCCTTCATTGACAGAAGTTGAAAGGAAATGTGATGTTTCCAAATAGGGAACTGGAAGGGCGTCAGACTAGATGGAGGCCCGCTTGCCGCATAGCAGAAGCCTACACCCAGGAAGGTAGCGGCTGCCTTCCCCGGCCTCTGCAGTGCTCACTCGCGTGTGTGTGTGTGTGTGTGTGTGTGTGTGTACGCACCTGTGTGTCCCTTCTTGGTGTGAGGAAGCTGTCAGGAAGCCTAGGTGCAGCCTGAGCTGTTCCTCTGTGAATATTGCAGGACTGATGGGTCTATCGGAACTTCTCAGCTTATGTTCATGTAGTGCCTACATCAACCCGGGACCCGCAGCTCAGGCTCCTATTTTACTGTGTGCACCTTTCCTGGAAGAGGTGACAGCCATGGAATGTGGACCATCCTGTTGGCAGCAGGTGCCCCCAGAACGAAGGGGAAACCACAAAACTGGGCCACTTTGCTGGCACCCGTAGGCCTCTAACAGGGTGGTATCGCATTCTTCTATTGAAACAAAGAAGAAAAACGGGGCACAGGCAGACGTTTCTACCGTTATTCATTCTACTCCATTTGGGCGTTTTATTGAAACTTTGCATCTGAAAACTTGGCAAGGGCCCAGGAAATGATACTGTATAAATAGTTCCCCATGGTGTTTATCCTTCTGCTGTCGCTGGGATTCGCGCGGCATTTAGAGACTCTTCCCATTGGGACTGCTGCCCATAAAGTGGACTTGCAGGCAGAAGCTGGAAACCTCTCCCCTTGGACAGTATCAGGGTCAGACATTCCAAGGAGGCTGCAGCTTTGTTCAGCAGCCCACCATGTGAACCAAGCTGGTCCCCCATGTGCTGTCTGCTGGCTGTCTTTCTCCTTTTTTGGCCGACTTCCTGCCTCCCTCCCTTCTGTTGCAGCCGGCGGTGAAGAAAAAGATATCTGCCCTCTGTCATAGCTGTGATGGCTGGGGACTAGCCGTGCATACAGTGTGGCTGTACCCTGTCCCTCTCCTTTCCAGCTGCAGCTAAGGGCCTTCCATGGGACCTTTCCTTCACTGGCATCCTGGGGATGACAGCTGGAAGCTTCATGCTCAGTCTGGACTGTGTGGCATCTGCTGTCCCTCCCTTCTCCAGAGTCCTCTTACATTCTCAAACTAACCTCTGACCTCAGCATTGGCAAAGGTGTGAGCTTGGACCCAGCATCAGTGTTCTTTTTTATTTTGGGTTTTTATTAATGATGCTTAATTTTTTTTATCGTGTGTGTGTGTGTATGTGTGTATGTGCATGTACATGTGCGTGTATGTGTGAACACACACACACCATACCATGCTCATGGAGAATAAAGATCAGTTTTCAGGAGTCAGTTCTCTCCTTCTACCGTATGGGTCCAGGGATCAGAATCAGGTCGTCAGGACTGGCCGCGAGCGCCTTTACCAATTGAGCCGTCTGCCTGACCCAATGTCGGCATTCTTGGTGTGGAGATTGGACACTGGCTTTTGACTCTGACAACCGACTGTGTCACCCAAGGTTTTTGAGTTTTCATGACACACCTTCCTTCCTTGTTGTTCCATGCCACCCTAACCAGGGATGTTATGGGGCCTGTGCTTCCTCTTGAGGGTCAGGCCAGTGTCTACACTAGGCCCTGTGTCACTGTGACCAGCAGCTCCCCTCACATCCAGTGAGCCACACTTGGCTCATTCCCCAGTCTCATCTCACTCCTTGCATCTCATTTAGCTGGAGACCTAGGATGCCTAGAAAGCCATTTGCTGCAGTGCACTGTGGGTAAGGCCTTCCCTGGCTCCCTTGCTCCTTGCCTGATGGATGAAATCAACCTTGACAGGGATGAGCTCCAGGCGGCTCTCACGGAGCAGAAGGAAGACACCGCGACACTCCCTCCGCGCGGCAGTTGAAAATGTGTTGCTCCAGGCCAGCAGGGGCTTGTGCAGTTGGCTCCCCGACTGAGCAACTGGCAGGGTGCCCCACCCCAGAAACATGCCAGAGCAGTGTCTCCCAGAATCCCCTGCTTTGCCGTGGCCTCGACACTTGCCTCTTAGCAGATCCTGCCAGTATGTAAAGCTCTGATTCCGTTTGCTGGGGGTGCTGTCCCTTTGGGTGCATCAAGAAAGCGTCCTTATGACAGGCACCTGAGACAGAACTGGTAGGACCTGTACGCACACAGGACAGTGTTTCAGAGTGGTTAACCTGTCGTGACCACAGGAACAATGTCTCTTTCTCTTCCAGATTTAAATGACTTTAGAGATATATAATTTGTAAATGGCCTGGACAGGCTCAGAGTGACGGCAGCTTGGCTCAAGGGAAAATCTCGGTTTCGAGCAGTCTGTTCCTGGCAGATGGCAGTATGATGTCCTTTTCAAAACTGTAGTAGAGCAGGGAGGGCTGACCGAAAGGATCGGGACACATGATGTTATCTGGATATTTCCTTCATGGTTTCATTTCCTGGAATCCAAGTGGCCATCTTTGGACTGTTCTTTAAAGAAAAAGCACAAAAATGTGTGGAGGGTGGAGTACCTTACCTCACACCCAGATTCAAGTGACCAGGGACTCCGAAAGTGACTAAGTCCATCCAAGCCTTCTAAAGTTTCTTCCAAAGCCCTAAAGCTGCACACAATAGACCACAACAGCTAACTACTCCATTTTGTTTTCTGAAGACCCAGGTCCTGAAAGCCAAGGTGGCCTGCCAGAGGTTAGCTTCCGGCCAGCATCTTGCTTCTGATGGGATGTAGGAGCTCACACTTGGGTTCTGGTTAAAGCCATGTTACTGACTTGAGCACACGCAGGCACTCCCGGGACAGGTGCAGCCCACACAGTCCGAGGAAGGCTTCATGGAATCCTTGCTGGGTATTTCCTTCCCAGAAGTCCCCAGTCCCAGGCTCTTTCTGTTACTTTCCCATCCTCTCAGGTGTCCCTTCTGTGTCAGGAAAACACAAGATGAGGCGGAAACACTGTGTAACTAGACCCACAGACGCAGGTGCCCATGGGTAATTCTGTCCGCCCCTTGCAGCTGAAGCCCCAGAAGGAGCCGCAGGCAAGAATGGCTGACCCCTGGTTTCTCTCCTCACCTGGCCAGGATCCTTGCTTTGGTTTCCCACTCTGTCACATAGCAGGGGCAAATCCTAGTCAGTTGTGGCTTTCAAACACCATGAAGAGTGTCTGTGGGAAATGCTGGAGACAATGTCATCAGTGGGGTTTTTTTCCTTCCCATGGTGTCTCGTGCCAAGGATTCTAAAAGTGCATTTGTCCTTAATGTGCCTGTAGGCTTCATGCTATCCCGAAGCAAAGCTGAGTCCTGCAGCGTCACTGAGACCAGCTTGCTGAGCTGGTGCTGCAAACTGGAGCTACCTACCCTAACCTGACTGCCCTGGCCCCACAGGTCCTCACTGCCCCAGCAGCTCTCCTTCCTGCACCAGGGCCTCCTGAGCAACCTCTACCTGCATGCCTCTGAGTACCCGCGACCTCTACTCCAGTGGTTGTTCCAGGTGAGAAACACAGACCTGCCACTAGGTGGCGGGAATGCTGTAGCCCTATAGCCCAGGCAGGCGCAGGGGTCAGACTGACGGGGTGCTTAGCTGCTTTTTGCTTTGGATACTTGAGATCTAGGGGGTGGAGGAAGGCTGGTGAGGATTAATCTTCACTCTAATGCTAAAGATGCCAAGGTCCAGGAGGTGAAGGGGCGCAGCTAACTCCAGAGATGGAGCCTGGAAGTCTCTGTGCAGCAACCCCAGTCTGTGTGCCTCTAGGGTGTTCCTGTGCTACCTGCAGGGTGAGGGGTGTGTCTTTCCTGAAGTGCTTAGAACCGAGTGATTGGGTCCATTGGACACAACAAGAGTGTCCATCATAACACCACCTTTCCCCCATTCCTGCTATCCCAGTCATGAATGGCTCATCCCAGGAGCATAGCTGGAGGGGGCACCCAAGGCCCCTCTGCAGCCCTGGAGACCTAAGCTCGTGAATCCATTGCTATAGACTCTGGAGTTTAAGGGTTTGCTGCTTTGTGAAGCTGTAGGTGGTCTGGAAAAGTATGAACAGCTCCTTCTGCCCCAGTTTCCTCCCCAAGGAACATTTTGCATCAAGGCAACGCACATTTTGTGTGCGGATGTAAACCTCTGGTAGGTGGGAGGCTAGAAGACAGCCCAGGACCTAATGCTGCCTTCCAGGTGTCCTGCATTTGCCTTGCCTTGGCCCCCCGCCCAGACCTGTCCTTGTCTGGGGATGGGCTGGTCACAAGTTCCAGCTGGTACCAGAGCTGCCAGTTGAGGCCTGGAGCCCAGCTGCCAATCAGGGCTGCCATGCAGGGTGGAATATTCAGGCACTTCTCAAGCTTGGCAGACTGGCTGCCTTCCAGATAAGGCTCACTCTGCACCTTCTGGGGACTCTTGTGGTGCTCCTGCCCTGGAGGGGAAGAACGCTAGACTTTTGGGACCCTGGGCATAGCTGTCACCCTGGTCCCTCTCCCCGTTCCTGGGGTGGAGAGGTTGGGACAGCAGGGCGGGTAGGAGCCGGGAACAGTCGGGCCATTATTCTGCACCCGCAGCGCAGTTTCTCTTTGCTCCATGCACAGCATATGACAGAATACACAATTGGCCATTGGGAGGCACAAAGAACCCCTCTAAAACATCGCCCACAGAGGGTCCTTGTGTGACCCTGACGGGCACCAGTCCCCTCCCTTTTCATGGCTCAGCCTCCACTAGGTTCTGGAATTCAGGCCATGGACGGTGTGGAGAAGCCTCTCCCATCTCTTGTGCCATCTCCACTGTGCCATGAGGGGCACACAGGGGAGAGGAGTTGAGCCCCAGCCCCAGGTGCAAGCTCAGGCTCTGTCGCTTTTCCTTCTGTGTCACCTCATGCAAGTCCTTGGTGTCAGCTTTGTATGATGGAGCCAGCAGCCCAGAGTGGGTTAACTCCTACAGTCTGTCTGGTCCTTAAGCCTGTCCCCTCTCACAGATCCCCAGCTCTGCTTAGGGCCTGTGCAAGGAACAACAAGGGCACAGGTGCTGCTTCATACCTCTGTAAGGCTACTGAGGACAGAGCACTGGGGTCTCCCTAAAGCCACTGCAGGGGATTCTTACTGGGAGGCCTCAGACAGAAGAAGAACCAGGGATAGGGAGGGATGGGTACTCAAGGCAGACATCCTTCTCTTCCCTAGGCACATGGCCAAGTAAGGCCAGGCCCCATTCCCACATCTGAGTGAGAGACTGTAGCTGACCTGATCCAAGACTGGGCAGGTCGCAGGTTGCCCAGGACACCTGGGGCCCATTCTAGATGAGGAGTGACCATTAGAACTTAACAACCTCTGCTCAGTTGACCACTCCTTTGTTAAAGATAGCCTGTTTTCACTAAGACTTGGTGACCTCTGGGCTCGGCTGACCTCTTCCTTGCTCCCAGGGCCTCTTAAGTGTACACTGTACACATCAGGTAAACAGCCCAGGCCTTGACACTCTTAACTTACATGGTCACAGATTCACCTGTTGGTGGGCCTTGCCAGGGAGAGTGGACAGAGCAGGCGGCCTACATCCCCAGTGAATTTCTATTCGTGTCGGTAGACATTAAAGCTGTTAGATCTGAGAAGGCTGGAATGCAGGAGAGGAGCAGGGCGTTGAATTCTGACAGAGTCCTTAAGAACTACAGCTGGAAAAAAAAGAAAAAAAGAACTACAGCTGGGAGGAGGGAAGCCATAGGCCCTCTAGAGCAGGAGACTGAACAAATGATTCATTACAGTCAGGCTCCAGCGGTCTCCTCATTGTGTATGGTAGGGGGTGGAGAGTGAGGCAGAGGATGTGTTCTGGAATCAGGTGACCCATGAGAACTGTGCAAATTGAGGATGTGGGGGGTTGAGCTCTTAGATCCCAACTCTGGTCTAGAGAGAGCCACTTCTTGAGCCAGGCATAGCCTGTAAGATCAACTTCCAGGTTCAGAATCCCACCTTGCTTGCTGTCTCCAGATACGTGACACTGGGCAGTAGGAAGGGAGTCTTGGCATAAAGACACAATCATGTAAAGCAGCAGCAGCCATGACTTGACTTGGAAGCATGAAATGAGATATATTTAATACACAATATTATATACAAGTATGAAACTGTTTCTGGTGACTTATGCCTAGAATCCCAGCACTTGAGAGGCAGAGACAGGAAAACCTGGCGTTCAAGGTTATCCTTAACTGTACAGTGAGTTCTAGGCCAACCTTGGCTGCATGAGATCCTCCCTTTGAGGTTCTTTAGGAACAAACAAACAAACAGAAAGATAATAAATTTGTATGAAATCTTGCTACTATTACTCTGTACTAAATGTTTTTTTTGTTTGTTTGCTTGTTTTCTTCCTAGCTGTTAACATGGCCTCCAGAAACATCTTCAAGAGCTTTTAGTCTCCTCTGGGATCTCAGCATAGATGGACTATTCCGTCAGCCTGGTAAGTACCAGGGTGCAGGTTAGGTCGGTACTCACGTACTGGAGCCTGTCCCTCCACCCCAGCCCAACCCAGCTTGCTGTGGGGACATTGCATCACCTGTGATGGAGACATCAGGCAGCACATCTTTGGCTCTGGCTCCAGTGTTAGTGACAAGCAGAGCCAACAGTTCTCAGTGACCAAATCCAGGCTGACTTCACAGCCCCCTGGGATCCCTATACCTTCCAGAAAGGTGAGTTTTGCCCCAGTCAGGCTCTGGCTCAAAAGACAGCTTGTCCTCCAGATTCTTCCAAGGACCTAGGAACGAAAGCTGCAGTGCATCAGAGTAGCATTTTAGTCTGGCATCACCAGGAAGGAAGCCTCAGAACTGCCCCTCCACCCCCCACCACACCCCCAACGGCACCTTGAGTGACAGCCTCCGGTCTGTACCTTGGCCGTGGCATTTTGGGTATATTTGACTCAGCATTCCAGAGAAGCATTTCATGTCCTGCTAGTGGCTACACCTTCCTCAACTGTCATCATTTGGTACCTGAACCTAGACACTTTGGCACCAAAAAATATTATGTAAGCAGTTAGAAGTTGCTTACAGCTGGCAGGGAGAGGACTCTCAAAGGACTGTACTCCGCCTTTGTCCAGCCATTACTCCCTACCCCAAAGCACGCAAACACACAGTTCTGAGGGCCAAGGTTGTAGCCCTTGGTACACCAGAGCCCCGGCCCTGTGAGTGGCTGTATTGTACTCCTCTGCTTCAGGAGTTGCCAAGCTGGGGCCATCTGTCAAATCAGAGCATTCCAGACGCCCCCATAGGCCCCTCACTAAGGGCTTCTGAGAAGCTACCAGGCCAAGCGTGTTCTTCCTTTTTGTAACCTCTGCCCCTGTGGCCTGTGTTGCCCTCTGCGGCCCCAGGGCCGCCTCTGCAGCATGCCTGCCCTTTCGGAAACAGAGGCCTTCCTTGTCCACCCCTCTCCATGCTGTGGTATGTGTCTCCTCCACTCTACTCGCCTTCTCTCCAGCCAGAAGGATACTGAGTAGCTCCCGAGTTTCTGGTTCTCAGTTCTGGCTCCCCCGGCTACAGAATGTGTCCTCAGACATCACCTTTGAGCCCAGACTGGGGTTCTGTCCCCTGCCAAGTGAAATAGACCCTGGGCTAGAGCATTCCCTGTCTGAGGTCAGGATCCCCACTGATTTGGAGGAAGTCAGGCCTGATCCGCAAAAGAACTAATTTAAACAGGTATCACACACCTGTGTTCATCATAGCATTGTTAACAGACAAAAGGTGGAAGCAGCCTACATGCCTGACAGATGAATAGACAAACAAAATATGGCATAGATGTATGATGAATTGTAATACATATATATATGATGGCCAGAATAGACATGCAGTGGAAGGAAGACAATTCTGACGCATACTGCAGTATAGACGAATCCTAGAACCTGTGTGTTAACTGAGATGAACCAGTTGATCCCATTTGCATACAGTCCCTCAAGAAGGGGAAGTCACAGAATTGTGGCCCCCGGGGCTGAGGAGAGAGATGGGAGTTGTTCAGCAGGTTTTGGCTTGAGAAGCTGGGCAGCTGGGCAACAATGCGAGGACAGTGGCCACTGCCCCTCACAGGCAGAGACGTTGAGGGGGGCTGTAAAGCCTCGTACCTGTTAAGCATGTTTGACTGCTCAGCTGAACCCCAACACAGGATACATGCTAAAGGTTAATTTAGATCCAGGATGACTACAAAAGAAGCCTCGCTCCTCAGGTTCACGTACAACCTGGGGGCCCTGGGGGGACCTGTGAGCCCAAGGCAAAACTGCAGGACTGGACTGCCTGCCTTAACACCTGTCTTTTCCACACGCAAGTTCCTATTCCCTGGGGGGTGTGCTCACCGATGGCTCCTCTCTGACTGACTGTCCTGTGCAAGGTCTGATGGAGTGACTTTTATCTTTATCTTTTATCTTTAGGACTTTTATCCTAGCCCACTTCCTGAGTCAGGAGAGGGGGTCGGTTTCAGCACGGTCTGGGATAGGAGTTAGAGACTTGAACACTCCAGGGCAGGCTGATGTATAAGGGGCAGGATGTATTGAGAAACAGCTGGTGATGAGCTTGGAGGGTGGAATATTCTGGAACATTGCTAGTCTTTACCTCAGGGAGTATTCACTATCCATTCACAGATGCCTGGAGGCCTCCTGCATTAAGGCCCAGCTGGATGGCAGAAGGACAGGATAACTGAGGCTAGCCCTTGTCCTCAGAAGACTAATGACCAAGGGGAGGGCATAGAGCATTTGATCACCTCTAGAAACTGCACAGCGTAGGATTGCACACTCAGTTGCTTGGAGACCAAGTGAGCCCCAAATGGAGTGTCTGTCCTGTCTAAAGGGGCCACCCACACCAGTTGTGGTCCAGGCCAATGCATGACATCACACACAGCCTTCATGTTGTCAAGTCATATTTTCATTAAACCGTACCTTGACTGTTAGTGGCATATGACAGGAAACTCACATATTCTGCCCTGTAGCATCAGCATTCAGGTTTTTGTGACTCCAAAATCACTGCCATAGGATTGTCACACATTACAGGTTCTCATGAGACAGGGTTCAAAGCTGAAAAAAGAGAGATCAGTTATAAAACGCCTAAGCAGGAAAACCTGGGTTGGACCCCAGCACTCAAATTTTAAAAAGCTAAAGTTGAAACACAGGCCACAAGATGAGGTTCCCACTTTGCCTGCGTTTCTCTCGGTGTGTGCATTGTTTGCCTTCCTGATGCTGTGGTTAAATATCATGTCCACGACAACCTCTGAAAAGTGTTATTTGGACTTATGGTTCTAGAGAAATGAGTCTGCCATGGCAGCAAATGGCAAGCATGGCAGCAGAAGCTGAAAGCTCACATTTCAACCCCAAATTGAACCATAAGTGGGTGAGGCCATGGCCTCCTCGCGCTCCTTTCCTGATGACCCAAACAGAACTATCAACCCGGGATCAAGTATCCAAAATGCCTGAGCCTATAGGAACATTCCTCGTTCAGACCATCACGTACACTCCCTTTCTTGATTTGTGTGTGTGTGTGTGTGTGTGTGTGTGTGTGCGTGCGCACCTGCAATGGCTCACTAGTGGAAGTCAGAAGGCTGGCTACTTGTGGGAACTGGTTCTCCTCTCCCACCTTGTGGGCTCTGGAAATTAAACTTAAGTTGTCAGACTTGGTGACAAATGCCTTCACCCACCAAACCATCTTGCCAACCCACAGTTTCCTTTTTTTGCCAGGATTTTTTTTTTTTCTGACAGGGTTTCTCTGTGTAACCCTGGCTGTCCTGGAACTCACTAAGTAGACCAGGCTGGCCTTGAACTCAGAAGCCTGCTTTTGCTTCCATTTGCTAACTAGGATTAAGGCACACACCACCACACCCAGCCTACTAGGACTTTTTATTTGTTTATTTTATGTCTTTTGAGGTATGGTCTCTCTATGTAGCCTGATTTTCCCAGACTGCACCCAGTCTGTCCTTTAAGTCACAGAGATCCACCTGCCTCTGCCTCTGATTTGCTGGGGTTAAAGGTGTGTGCCTCCACACCCAGCCTACCAGCAGATTCTTTCCACCTTGTTTCGTGGTACAGAACTGGGCCACGGGCTTCAAAGGCTGCTTGCCATTTTCTGACTATCATATCCTCTGAATATCTTGGCTGTGTGTGAAGTTTTCAGTCTCACAAATCTGACCTTCGAGGACAAAACCCAAGAAACCCATTTTTCTCTTCTTTATTTCTTTTTTTTAGAACGAGTCCCCAAACCGTCCAAAATAACAAGGCTCCCTGTTTACATAGCCGTGCCACTGTGTTAACTACTGTGGGGCTTCAGGGATGGTCGGGAGACCATGGAGGGATGTCAACTAGGTACATGATTTGAAGACTATGAGATGTGCAGTGTGTGTGGCTTTTTTGAACTGCTGTGGTATTTTGTATAAGGGACCCAAGGAGCCTTGGATTTTTGGAGAGGGTCTTAGAACCAACCCCCAGGATTCCAGGGTGGCTACCTTGTCTGACATACCTAATAGCATGTATCTGCGCCTCTAATATCTGGTCATTTAGTTCCTTACATGGCAAAGTTGGCAGGGAAGTAACTGTTTAGACTATACAAAGAAACAGTGAGTGTTGAACCCTGGGAGGCTCAGTCTCCTAGCTGTCCTCGGATCCTTTTCCGGAAATGCTTGTGATGACACACGCACCCCGGTTCTGGCTAAATGGGCCTCCTCTCCAGGGCCTCTGGCAGGAAATAGCCAGAACTGTTTCTGCAGAGACCTGACTGTTGCTGAGGCCTCCTCTGGGCTCCTCTGCCTACTGCTTACTCCTGGGGCGGACATGCTGTCCTGAACAGACAGCAGCACAAATGGTGCTCCCTTTCCAAGGAAGAAGGGGTGTGGCTCTCAATTTGGAAGCCCAGAGCCTGCTGCTGTCAAATCTGGACATTTTCAAGTGTCCTTTCTATTGCCGTGATAAAACACTGACCAAAACAAATTGGGGGAGGAGAGTGTTTATTTGGCTTAATCTTCCGGGTCACAGCCCAGCCCACCATTGAGGTAGGGCAGGGCAGAGAATCAAAGCAGGAGCCTGGAGCTTGCTGGCCCGCGCTGTAGGCTCCCTCACTGGTGCACGCTTAGCGAGGTCAGCCATCTCTGCTGCCTACCTACAGAATGCTTTGATCATTCCCACAGGAACTTTGTACCCCTTGGCAGACAGACCCTTCCGGGTATGCCCTCCCCAGGTCCTGACCACTCTTAATCTACTGTCTCTAAGCTTTGCCTGCCTGACACAAAGTTTAACTAGTTAGGTTTCTTTGGGTTTTTTTTTCTGTTTTTTGGACAAGATCTTATGCATCCCAGACTAACCTGTGTATCTGAGACTAGTCTTGAATTCTTTTTCTTTAAACACAGGATCTCACCATGTAGTCCTGGCTGACCTGGAACCCACTATGTAGATCAGATCAGGCTGATGCCAAACTCACCCCTGCCTTTGCCTCTGCCTCACAA